TTCGAAACCACACTTTCAGAAAAGACAAAAGGGATCAAAACACTGGATTGAAGGTATTTTTATTTTAGTGTTCCATGAAACCAAGAGGCATTTGAAAACAAAGAGGGACACAGACTAAAAGCAGACAGTACAAACAGGAAAAAATACATTCAGCTCCTTCAGTGATAAAACAATACATTTGATTCTTAAGGCCCTGGAAGTCAAGGTGAAGCACCTGGCTGGACACAAAACACCAGTCCCCTCCCACCACAGAAAGGCTTTACCCCAAAGTTCTGCCAAGGACAGCCTGAGGTACGAGGTTTGCTCGAGGCTCTCAGGCCGTGGAAGTCGAAGCCTGGCTGGTGTGGGCCCTGAGCCCCCTGCTGCCCCCCAGGAGCCCCGAGACCTGCAGCCCCCCCAGAGAACCACCCCAGGGGCAAAAGCCAGCCACAGCCCAGCTCCTCCTCCAGGGACTCGGCTGGGACTGGCAGGAAGGCTGGAGGAGAGGGCAGGACACGTTGTAAGGCTTTGTCTCCACGGAGGTCACTAGGAGCACATATTGCTGATCTGTTTTGGATGCACCTGATCCAAGCTTGGCAAAATCCCAGCTCCAAAAGCGTCGCAGGTGGCACCATGGTGCCTTCAGCAGCCAGTGGCCCAGTAGTACCCACGTAGTTTAAAACGAGCCAAAAGCAAGAGCCCAGCCTTGCTTCCCACCTCCAGCTGTCACACCAGTAGCATTTTGAACTGTTTAGCCACCACACAAAGGCACAACCAGTTCTTCTGACCTAAAACATCAGAAAGCTGTGGAATAAAGTCTAGAAAACAAGTCTTTTAGTGAGGTACAGGCAAGAATTGCCTTCCAGAGACCCACTGAGGCACAATGAGGAAACAAATCAATCCTTCATCTTCCTCACTATTCCAAGGCACGAGAAGCAGCAGCAGTTTTCAGTAAGGCCAACCAGCATCACCCAAAACCTGAACCACCAGCCAAGAGCTGAAGATGCCAAGACCTTCTGTGTTTCAGACTCTTCACTCACAGAAGAGGTCCAGCAGAAGAGGAACCACCCCTTCACAGGCATCTGCTCCATGAAAACACCAGCAGACAAAAGCACCCAAAGTCCTGGAAGACTCGTCAGGCTCGAGGCTGGTCTCAGCTCCAGCTGCCAACACAGGGCAGCTCGGGCAGGAACGCTGCAGGCTCTGGGGGTCAGCCAGGTTACAGTAGCAAACATGTCATTAACGGCATTTTTGGGACATTCCAGTAAATGTACATCTCCAGGCAAATATATTAAACTATTCTTCACTACAAAAATAGAGTATTTGAGAAGTCTCCAGCAGTTCTCAGTGTTTTGTGACAGCAGCAAGCAGCCCACTGACAGTGGACCCAGCTGGTCCTGGCTCTCAGTAAAGTGCTTTGCTGTGGACAATGAGTCAGAAACTCCCCCCTTGGAGCCAGGCCAGGGGAGACCCAACAGCCCCTCCCAACCCCCCGAGGCAGGAGTGTTTGCTTTGGTCCTCTGCTACCCCATCTTTTGGTATCTCAGCTTTCTTCCGAGCCTTTCACAGACCCTCACAACCCTGATAAACCCCAGAGATGCAAAGAGGAATCTGATTTTTGTGGTCTTTGACAAGAGCTTGCCAAAAAGGCGCCACATTTAGTTTTCCAGTGGAGGAAGCCTGTTGTGGTGGCTGCTGGACATTGCTGAGGTGGGAGGGAAACCCCTCTGTCCCTGTCGAGTGCAGAGCAGCCACAGGGGAAGGAAGCAGACCCAGAGGATCAATTGTCCAGGTAAAACCAGCTCGCTCTCAGCTACACAAAACGTTCACTCCATTCTGAGCAGGAAGTCACCCAGAAACCCAAATCTGACTGAACACTAGTGCTGTGACTGGTCCCATCTCGAGGGGGGGCAATTTGGTTCCTCCCTTGGCTGCGTAAGGAACACAGTGTGAGACTGATCACCTCTGAAGGTCATCCCAAGGTAAGCCCAGCTCCAAACCCGAGGTACTGAAATGGAATAAGCTGCAGTGGGGTGACAGAAAAGTCACCACAGAAGTCCCATGCAGCCAGAGGCAGGGGCTGTGTGTACAGAGAGGTCCATGCCTGTTTCAAGAGCACAGAAGAGGAGCTGGGCATACCTTGGCCTCCCACACTTGAGTGACCTTTGGATCAGGGGTTTGAAGTCTGTAAGAGAAGAGTTTCTGACTTAAAATGCACCTTCAGCCCCAATTCCTTCGTACCGCTCCTGTGGCAGACAGACAAACGTACCATGGCAACTCAGTGGCTCCTGTACCCAAGACCCTGAGAAACCTTCTCCTCAGAGCACTGCCCTGGAGCACAGGCACTCAGTGAGAGCACCAAGCCTTGCTTCTTCCTTTCCAAACAGAGCTGGAACCTGCACTCAACTTCTAGGGCACTCCTTACTTCTAAAACACAGCTCGCACAGCCCTGCTCTGAACTTTGGACTTTTCCAGTGGAATTATTAATATTATTTTTTTAAAAACAATCAAGTCCTCGAGCTCTACAAGACTGTAGATTGCACTACAATGTAAAATATGGAAAGAAGAGTAATGGAGCTATCAAAGCTGCTACAAACCAAAACCATTTAAAATATCTTCATCAAGGATCGTCAGTGCCTTGCTGGCAAGCAAAACACATCAAAGACCCTTTGTCCTTCCTGCTGCCCTCAGCCTTTGGATTAAATGCCTGAACAAATCCTCCCAAACAATGGTAAAAAAAACCCCAAACAAAAAATAAACATGGCAAGTTGACTCCACTTCTGGACTCCACACACAAGACCTGATGAAAGCACTAATCAAAGGAGAGTTGCTCCAGGCAGAGACAGAAGAGGCCGTTTTCTGTGGGCAGCACAACTGGTCCCACCTCCTTCACCTCAGCTCCTTATTCATCACCCTCCACTGGCAGCAATTCAGCCCTTTGTCCAGCCCACACCCCGAGAGCTTTTACATCTTTCCAGCTTTTTTGTTGCCAGAGGCTGGCACACGCAGGATGTTTGGGGTTTCCTCCATGACCCTGACAAGCAGGTTATCGATGTAATCCTCCAGCTCCCGCACCTGCAGATCCTGCCTGCTGATGGCATCCTTCTGCCTCAGCACCAGCTGGATCAGCTCGTCGTGGGTCAGCTGGGCGTAGGCATAGGCAGGGTCTGAAGGGTCGTATTTCTGAGGGAGGAGAAAGGCAGGGTCAGTGCAGGGTCAGTGCAGGCTCTAAACACAGGGTGTCTGGCGGCCAGCCCGGGCCGGGCCAGGCAAAGCTCTTTGCTACAAAGCACCTTGTGGGACAGGAGCAAACCTAGCCTGAAAAAATTCCTGCAGAACTATGGACTCGTGCACTTCCAGAACACAGAATGAGCTTTTGGTGGTACCTGGGGGAAAAAAGAGCAACTGCCTCAGCACGTGTGTGCTACTCAGGGCACAGGGACACCACTCCCAGAGCTCGGGTGTCCTCCAGCAGGCTCAGACACAGCCAGACGTGGCAGCCAGCAGCCAGGCCGTGGGATTTAGCACCAGATCCCTGCAGGATGTCAGTCCTGGGATTCACCACTGCTGCAGCCTGGGCTGGAGCCACGCTGGCTCTGGGCAGCAGCCCACCCAGCTTGGCAAAGGCACACAGACCATCACCCACCACTGGCTGCAGACGAGCAGGGGGACAGCCACTGGTTCAAACACACCAGGAAAGCCAAATTCAGCTTAAGCAGCAAGAAACACTCACTTAGGCCTCTGGCATTTCCCTCTTACTGCAGTTATCACTGTAAAAACACAGTGTCTCCAAGAAGTCTGCTTTTAACCCTGAAGAACTCGACAGGCACTTGGCAGCCTCTGCCCATTCCTCCACTGCCTTCTCAGCCCCGCTACCTCACGCCTCATTTTTTAGGTGAAATCAGAGCCTGGCAGAACAAGGATGACAATTTTCAGCTCGTTCAGAGTATCACACGCCTGTCTGAATCATTTCACTCCCATTTTCACCTCTTCCACTCACACCAGGAGGAGGCACTGCAGTGATAACTTCATCTTCCCCCAAGCCCCCATAGAGACAATAAAGGTACCAGGGATTTTTCCCAGAGAAGCCATTCTGAACAACACAACTTCTAAGCTATGCCCCAAGCCTGAGGGTCTCTTTTGAGGCCAAGATTATGCAGAAAGCTCCTTTAAACCCAAGCGATTGCCCAGGCTGCACAAAGGCTTTGGGGAGGTGGCTGTGCCCTGAGGGCAGGTGCCGGGTCTCTCCAGCTGCAGGGGCACTAGTGCACACCACCAGCAGCACCCACCCCGAGGTTACTTCTCCCATCTGCTCAGCTTTAAGAGCCACATATTGCAGTGTGAAAATCAGCTCTGGGGACTAATTGCATCCGGCAATGAACAGCAACTGATTTGTCCAGTCTCCTGAGCTGATCCCAGACCCAGAGCTGCCCCAGTCACCAACGGGACCATCTTCCAGGGGCAGCACCACCAGTGAGTCACCCCCAGCCCTCCTGGCTCCAGGGAGTCAGACACACCCCATGCCCCTCCCCACCAAGGTCCCTCCACAAAGGAGAGGCACTGATTCCATTACAATCACTTTGCAAAAAAACCAAACATTTAAAGAAGTGTTTACTGTCCCCACCTTTGGGGACTGACAAAAGGCAAGCTCCTGCCCCCCATGGGCTAAGAACCAGGGAAAAAAGCCCAGGGGAATGATCTCAGATTCACAACCTCTGCTCAGTTTCTGGCTCCAGCTCTGGACTGAAGCACTGCACCCCTCCATACCTTCACATTCATCCCCAGCAGCTTCTCATTCATAGTGCTGATGACGTTGAGGTTTTTGCTCTGAGACTTGTTGGCCGTGGCGTTCATTGGCTTCACAGGATGGAGTCTGTAACACCAGAACAGGCTCAGGTCACACAGGCAGCACACGCAGCACTGCACAGATCTTCAGACTCAAAGCAAATACAGCAAGAAACTGGGGGAAAATCCTACCCAGCTCTATCTCCAGAGAGATAAAGGACTCGGCTTCAGGAAGGACACACTTCTGTCTAAGCTATAGGCTTTTCACAAGTATACTCCAGCTTCTCAACCTTTAGTTCTCCCTACTATCTTCTCCTAAGGCACTGGAGATAAAGCAGCAGTGACAAGGGGTGCACACCTGAGTGGCACACTGCAGGACAGCCAGGCTGTCTGCATGCAGCAGCACTCACGCTGCTCTTTGAGCCTGGCTCTCCTAACAAGAACATATTGGTGGTTCTTGCAACACAGCAAATACTTCTACTCTCCTGGGACAGGCCTGTGTTACCCCTTTTCCAGCACAAACTTACAGCATAAGCTGCCAAACAGCTGTCTTCATTTGCTTGAGCAGGATTTACACTGCCAGTTTTAACATGGGAAGAAAAATTTACTTGGATCTCAGCAAATGCCAGCCCAGAAGTGTCCTAGACAGTTGTGCAGCTGCAGTCCTGAGGGCTGACAGGTCAGCAGCCTCGGCTGGCAGAGCCCAGGCAGGCAGGAGGAGCTGCAGGCAGCTCCAGGAAGCAGCCAGGCACTTTTGGGAGAGAGGCTCTGGCTTCATCCCTTGCTGCAATCCACTCGGGGACCCAGGAGCCCAGTTTGGGCAGGAGAGGAAGCTGCCCAGTGTATCAGGCTTCCTGCCACGGCTCTCCCACTTCTGACAAATGCACCAACTGCAGCCCATTTTCCCAGTGGGATGAAATGAGCCTATTTCTTCAACTGCAGCCAGGTTTCCCTAGCGTTTTCCCCAAGAGGAGCACCACAGTGGATGGATGGCAGGGCCCCTGGCACACCCCGGGCTCCTCAGCTGACCCCCCTGGTGCCAGCAACAACCCTGTGCTGCCACGATGGCACCCGGGGCACACAGGATGCCCTGGCAGCTGGAGGGCCAGGCCTGCACTGGCAGGAAGCAAAAGCAAGGCTGGCACGAGCACCAAGGGGCTCTCTGTGCATCCCCCGTGTTCTCTCACCTGTGCTTAGGAGACAGGGTTTCACTGCTCTGCTGGCTTAGGCTAGGGAATGTGTCAGAGGGTGAGACCCATGCCTGAAGAAGCTTCTTCTTGCCAGAATCTCCTGCTTTATCTGCGGAGCCCTCGGCTGTTGGCTTTTTCGGAGACTCTGCTCTATGACTTGGGGTGTCAGAGGGGAGAGAACGAGAGGAAGAGTAAGGCTGGGAGGGACGTGACAGGGAGGAAGAGGAAACAGAAGGCTCAGAGAAGTCACACTCTGCACACTCAACACCTGCCCTGATTTTCAGCTCTGGTTTCTCCAGGTGACTGCCGTGCTCCCTGGAATGAGACATCACACCCAGGCCTGAGTCAGCCAGCTGCTCACTGGCACCGTGCACATCCCTCCTGGCAGGCAGCACGGCCGGTCTGCTCGCCTCACACACAGCAGCACTTCCTCCTCCTCCTCCTCCTCCTGGAGCCGCCAGGGCTACCTGGGCTGCAGCAGAGCTATCAGGGGGCTCGTTCAGGTCTTCCTGCAAAGGCATTAAATCCAGGGACTGCTTGCCTGTCTCTGGAGTGTTTTTATCACCCACATCAACCCCAGAGATCTCCTGACAGTCACCCAGCAGCTCATCATCGGAGCCTCCCTCTGGAATGACTGGAAGACCAGCCAGCTTCAAACCACGCTCCCCAGTAACGGGAAGAGCAGACTTCAGATTTGTGAGGCAGTCAAATAAATCATCTTCACCCCCGTGATTTAAATGCCTGTTACTGCCATCCCCTGTGAGTGCCACTGCTGGGGTGACGGTCTCCAGCGAGCTGCTCTGGGGGAGGCTCCCAGGAGCACCCCAGCCTCTGCCACGAGGCAGCGGGGGCCCAGGATTCGTGGCACTGCCTGAAGAAGGGACATCTCCACTTAACTCCCCAGCCTGAGGAGCCCGTGGGCACCTCCTCAGCGCTGCAGACAGCCGGGGTGCGGGCTGTGGGGACGGGGTGCACGCCCCCAGGGGGGCCCTGGCTGGTCCTACTTGGGAAAATGAGTCATTTGTGTCAAGCAGAGTCGCTCGGGGCTCCAGTGTAAGTGCACATTCCTCCTGTCTCTTTCCACCACGGATCTCACTCTCAGGGGCAGGTGGCTGCTCAGCACCCATCTCTGGCAAGAGGTTACTGCCACCCGTTGAGAGAGACACAAAGTGCTGGCTGTCCTCCCTGCAGGGCTCAGTACCCACACCACCCCCTGTCAGACCCCCCTGAGCTGTGGGCTTGCTGTTTTGGATGGGACCTACACTGTCCTTGGGGAGTCCTGACAACGGGCAGTGCCCTGTTTCCAGCTCATGGGCAAACCCCTCTCGCTCTGTCCCACCCGAACCCGTGAGCAACATTCCCCCGAAATCCGAGTGCTGCTCTTCACACTCCTGCCCAGCCCAGCCCTCACCACCTGAGGTAACCCCCTCTGAACCACCCAGGAGGAAGGACACAGATTTCCTGCTGCCTTGCTGGCTTCTCTCCACAGAATCCTCAACCTGAAGCTGGGGAGACTGGCACTGCCCCCGTGGTGCCAGAGCAGGGCTGTCAGCAGGGCTGCTGAGAGGGTTTGGTGCCGCTCTGACATCACCAGTTGAAGCCACTCCTGAAGAGCTCCCTGCAGCACCACGAGCAGAGGGCCCCAGCTCAGCAGGGTGCTCTGTGCAGGAACACTCCTCATCACAGGGCAGGCAGAAAGGGGAAGCACTCACAACAGCTCTGGAACCCTCTGCTGCCCGCCCAAGCCTGGGCACAAAGGGATTATTGTTGCCAAAACGACGGTCAGGGGGGAGGGATGGTGCCGGTGGGCGAGAGGGACCCGGGGAGGCCCACGGAGAGGAGCACCCAGGGCCCTGGCCCCACGAGCTCTGCTCCCATTCAGAAGCAAAAGGATTATTAGTGCTACCAGAGAGCTGCCCGGGAAGGGGCGCGCTGGGAACGGAGGCTGCAGGGTGATGGGGTGAGGGGGACAGGGAGCTGCCCCCGGGTGCCCTGCTCCACTCGGGAGTAAAGGGGTTCTGGCCCTGGAACAGCTCTGCAGCAGGAGGAGGAGGAGGAGGAGGAGATGCACGAGAACCAGGAGCATTGTCAGAGTCTGGTAGTTTTTGCCCCGTTTTAGAAGTAAAAGGATTATTGTCACTGCTGACAGGGTGTGCAGACAGAAAAGCGGGTGGGCAGTCGGGGGCAAGGGTGGGAAGCGTGGGGTTGGTTTCCTCCTCTGGAGACACGCCCAGTCTGCAAAAAGGGACAAAAAACTCCCATGTCACATGCAGCTGCAACACGAGGTGGGAACAGACAAGCTTTAGCACCAGACTCCAACTCCTAACACTGGAGATGAATCACTCTTGCAAGAGGCCTCAGAGTCTACCTCTGATAGACTTCACACACTTAGAGGCATCTCTACAAAGAGCTCAGTTTAGGTCAGAACTCTTCTGCTGTGGAGTTCACTGTGGTGGCTGCTCTTAAGCCTTGTCTCATCTTTTGCATCCTGAGCAGTTTTATTAGTATGTGAGACACTCCATATGCAAGACATTTACACGTGAGAAGCGTGGAAAACAGGGAGTTAGAGACAGAACACAGCCTTATTAGTAGAACACAGCCATATATATATATACACAAAAACATCT